ATCTAGTATGGTCGAATATTAAGTCTGAACAATTTAATATAGCCGGTTTGTTCATTTGTGTATCTACAGGGTATATTAATATTTGCAGGTATTTGCTCAAAGAAAATCATAAACTGATATTTTATTTTGGCTTTCAAAAGCCTTTTATTTTCACATTTTTGCGTCAGGTGCAAATAATTTAAGAGTTATGAAAATCTCAATTTAATTCCGTTAAGGCAAGCACAAACACAGTTTTCAGCAAATCAATTTTCATGAATCGTATGACTTGAAGCCATAACAACAAATACAACAACAACAACAACAACATAAAGAACAAGAACATTTGATTACCTCAGAATTTCGGACTTTAAATGGTCATTCTGTGGCTGTTCATAAATTACGGCAGTGGCAATTTAAACTGCTGTTGGAACAAAGGTGTGTGTCTTTGTGTGTCTGTGTGTGTGAGGGTGTGCAATAAAGTGCCAGTTGTTGCTGTTGCTGTCGCTCTTTGGTGCGCCTAAAAGCAGACATTGAATAAATTATTCAGCTGACCACGCTGCTGTTGCCTTTTAATTCGTCCACTGTGAGATTACTGGGAGTGTGTCTGTCTGTGTGGGCGTGGACAGTGGGTACGTCGCTTTGCTTGCCCATAAAACTGCAGCATAACTTTGCGCGTCCTGGACGCACTCGCGTCTATTGAGCACGCATAAAACCTAACAGTTGTAATTCTGCTGTAAACACGCAACTCGAATGCCCCTATAAATGTGTGTGAGTGCCTGTGAGTGAGTGTGTGCTGGCCTTAGCTACACCCACCCACTCGAAAATACTTTCTGCCCTGCGGCATAATTTCATTTATGTGGCAGCTTGTGGTCGGCCTGTTGATTTCATTGCTTTATAGTGCTAGTTGCCTTTTTGCCTTTTATATTATTTTTATTTTTATTGGTCATTTTAATATATCTTTCGCAAACACAGTACTCATTTATTCTATGATTTCATGTAGCACAATTGACGTTCATAAAAGCCCGTTGAAATGCCTTCAAATTACCTGAAAATTGCATTTACGGCTCCCACATCGCTCGTACTCCCAGGAGGCACGCCAAAGGCATTGTTGTCTCCCTTAGCACACGTAACGTTTGTTTAATGTCTATTTGGTTGCTTACAAAATCATCTGCATAACAAATCCTCTGTCCATTGTCTACTTGGATATGGAATGGTTTCCTTTCTCTAAGTATGTTCCATTTTGATGGAAAAGAGAACTATGTTAGAGTCGCATAAAGAAATCTTGGCCACTTTAGACACATTCACTCTATGTATTTTTATGCTGACTATTATTGCTTTAGAATAATAGTCAATGCTGCTTAAAAGAACTACATTTGATATATACATATATAGTATATATTTCCTTCCCTCGGCGGTCTCGAATTCGTGGTGGCAATATTTACTTCATTCTGTAATGGTTTTTCTTTTTCAAATGTTTGCAACAGACGGCAATACATAAAGCGTACAGTTCTACAAAGTAGACAGACTATTCAAGTAAAAGCTTAAATTTGCAACTTTCAAGAAAACGTAACTTTTTTCATAAGGCTCTTTGAGTTGAGCTTATTGTTTGGTTTGCATAGATATAAAATATTTAAGTTTTAAGACTAACTACACGATTTACTATTTACTTGCCGTTGGAATGCGATAAAATATTACTGCCATGGCAGCACTGCAATGCCGCAATAAAATACACCCAAATAATTGTGGCTAAATATGTGTGAAATAAAAATGCATTTAAGTGCCAAAAAGCAGCTCTCGCCAGTTCGCCTGACCCCGTTTTAAGGCGATGCCACATGCTGGCAAATAAATGTAGCTCGCTCTTGGTTGGTGAACTTGGGGTTAAATATTTTACAATTTAAATTACAATTTAATTGAGTAAATAAAATACTTCAACATTTTACATAAAATGTTCTCAATATTATACTTAATCTTAGCTTTAGTACTTCTGCTGATGTCGAGCTAATACTCTTATTGCTCAGATACAAATCAAGTGCCAAGCGCCACACTCGCAGCTCGAAGAGTTGCCTGCACTCGGTTGCTTGTCCCAGAAACTTGATTGACTGGGCTGCCCTTACAGCTGAGATACGCTGACCCAGCGAATAGTTTCAAGTGCGCGTTTCTTATTACTTTATATTATTTTTTTGCTTTCTTTCCACTTTCCTCATTTTTTCGCTACACCTTAGATTCAATTTTAGATAAGTTGCATGGGTGCTGATAATATAATGCAATGCACACAGCGAGCGCCGCTTAAAAATGTATGTGTGCTGCACGGCAACCCCTTTGTTATGACACTCATAACTGCTTTGGGGTGGGGGTAGCAGCTATGTTTGTGTGTGCGCTTCAATGTGGCAGCCAAACAAACAGCACAGCCGACATTTCCACTTGTCGAGCTCTGATAATAAAAACTGATAAGCAATGAGGGGCTTGGCGTTTTCTATGCATAAAACCAGACTGTCAGCCTCGGCCTCAGCCGCAGTCGCAGCTGCAGCGTCAGCCTCACCTCTGCTAAGAGCCAACGCAGCCCAACCCCCTGCCGTGTCTCCCTTATCAGCGATGACCCGCGCTCTGAAGTGTCGACGACACATTGAATTGGCAATTTATGAATGCCAAGACACGCGAACGAGAAGCTTAAAGTGCAAACGGGTGATATGATGAGAAAATAAATAAGAGAGTCGACTAGAAAATACCCCGCTCACAATAAATGTGAACAATAACTTGAGTCAACTCAAGTTCAACAATACAAAGTCAACATTCTCTTCGTGCCGAACTAATGAGAGAGATATATGCAAATGTTATCTCTTAAATGTAATGCATCGACATTTATTTTTGTGTGTCGCATAGTTTCGTTATCGGTTGTTTACCGTATTATTTAGTGATTCAGCTGGTCTCTGTATTTAATTTACTTCCTCTCGGGGTCTTTTTGAGGTTCACAGTCGAGATCAAGAGCAAGCGCTCATCAGTTGTGTGTAGCCCGAGAGATGAACAAAACGCTTTGTTTATCTGTGCTGTTGTGTGAGTATTCAACTTGAATAAGCTTTATTGAAATTTACATAAAACAAGCTGTTTTCAGTTGTTGCACGAGTTGGCGCTGATTGCCAACTTGGCGCTGCGGATGTATCTCAGACAAATCGCATATTCGCATTTAGCGCCAATAACCGGAAATATCCGTTACGTGTGGACGTGGTGCACACCCACCAAAAGTTGAATATGATTTGCAGTTCCCAGGATATTGCGGACATCATTTGCCAGCCCAATGGACGATTTAAACCGTCGCTGGCGGCCCTGGGGAATTGCAGTAATTCGGAAAAGGAAACCGTGGAAGTAGTCGTTGATAGTCATTGTCCATATACCACGTACCGTGTGGGCTATAAGCTGAACGATGAGGAGTTTCTGGAGATATACAGAAGTTGTTTTGATGCTGCCAATCAAAGAGCGCACTTTGTCAAACATTTAGTTTATCCCGTTAAACTGAGTAAATAAGCTGATCTCCAAAGCGATTCTAGCCTTATGTTGACGTTTCTTGCAGACGGTCGACCTGCGCAGGCCTTCACCACAGATGGCATCATTAGCACTGCTGCGGCCGCCACTTTCCAAAACAAGCACATATATAAGCGCTTCAAGGAGCTGCTCGGTCAAAGTCAGTCCTACATGAACTCTCCGCGTGATTTGGCCTTTGATCGTGGCCATCTGGCACCTTCTCTGGATTTCGGCTTTGAGCAATATATGCGTCAAACCTTCAAGTACATCAATATTGTAGCTCAGTTCCGGAGCATCAATCGCAGCAATTGGAAAACGATCGAGTTCTGGATACGCAAGCAGCTCACAAACGACCTCTACCCGGCGCTCCATGTGTGCACGGGTGTATTAGGTGTACTCCAGTTGCCGGACAGCCAAGGTCAGCTGACAGATATTTATCTGGGCGCACGCAATAGTAATCCCGTGCCCAAATGGCTGTACAAGCTTATTACCGATGACGCTGACACCTGCCTAGCTATTCTCACCTACAACAATATCCATGACTCGAGGATCCCATCACCGAATTGCCGTCAGGTGGCGTGTCCTCTATCACTGCAGCTCATCCCTAATAAAGAATCAGGCTTCACCTTTTGCTGCGACCCGCACGACTTCATTGAGAAGAATGTGCCGCAGTTGGGCACGTTTTGCTGAAGTAAAATATAAATAAACGAGATAGACGATACACATATGTATATAACGTTTCGCATGGAAAAAGGTAAAAAAATATGTAATAAATATTCAATACATATGTCATATGATAAAAGAGAAGAGTAGTCTTTCATAGATAAGAAAAATAACTATGAAATTATTAATATATGAAATAGATAAAATTTTTATTTTGAAAATTTTTTAACGAACGAACACCTGAAGATAATATCAATTTCTTAGTAACTTGGTGATATATAGTTTCGTATTTCGTACGAAATTAATCGAATATAATTTAATAAGCTTGTTCAAAGTATCCCTTCGCACGAGTGTGTTTCCAGTATCTTCAACATTTATTTATACTCGTCCATACATGAAAAATGCATTTTACTAAAACACTATGCGGAAATGAGGTTTTGTACTTTTACTTTCGATTTAATTTTTCATTATCAATGGGTTCCCCATTTCAAGAAGTTCAGGGCATATTGGTTTTCTAAAATGTATTTAACAGGCAGAAGGAGGAGGAGGCGTGGCCATAGAGTATATATATATATATATATATATATGACAACGAGCTTGAGCTGATTTAGCCCTGCCCATCTGTCATTCCGTATAAAAATATAAGAGCGGATCGAGTTTGTTTTTAGAAATGGATAACTACTACCAATATTTGTTAGTTTATTGTTAGTTTTCAAGTTATATCTCCCACCTTTTTAGACCTAGAGTCTCAAAATCTAATTTATAGACCTATGCGTTTTTAAGGAATTAGTAATTTGATAATGGCTTTCTATTATAAACTAAATTATACATAGGTTTAAGTCTCTAGTTTCGATTGGACCAGTATGCAGGATTATGATTTAAGATCTGAAAAGCATATGCAATACAGTTTAGCAATCTTATCCTGAATGCAGGTTGAGTCTTCTTCGTAGGAATTTGTGCGGCTGATGGATTCTACATCGACATCCACGCTATTGGTGACATTATTGTAAACGACAGTTGCAAAAAAGTCGGCGCTATTTTGATTCACTTTGAACTTGGTGCGATAGACATTAGTCTCCGTCTGTGGTAGCTCTCCGTGAAAATCGTGCTCTAGTCCGATTTTAAATTGCGTAGTATGTATATAGTCTAGAGTGAGATTATGGCAGAGGCTGCTCAGATTTTTCGCCCATAGATAATCGTTCATTCGCTCGATGACTCGGCCAGCGATACGATCCGACCAATCATAGTTGATCGTTTTATACGGCTTGCAAGTGCAATAGTGCTCGGGTATGCCGGCTTCCGAACAGTTGCGAACCGCATTCACTGGATAGAATAACGATTGACAACTGGGACAATCGTTAGCCTTGGGCAATGGTGGAGAATTGGAACCACCGCCTAATTCAGCGATGTGCTTGAGTGTATTATGTAGATCGAAGTTGGATGTCAAGCGATTACGATTTATTTTAAGGGCTTTAGCATACTCCGGATACTGTTTTCGAAACCAGGGTGGCAAGTAGATGAACATCATGGGCAAACGCTCCTCTAGATAAGCACTGGCCAAGTTCATTAGTTTGCCATAACGGGCGCCGTGATCAGAGAAAAATATCACAATGCTTTCATCAAAGACACGATCCGCCTCAAAGTCGAGTAGATACTGTAGAACAAAATCCTCCATCATCGAAGGCATCATAGAGTCGTCGTGACTGAAACTGCTCGACCAGAATAGGCCCCAAATAGGTCGCTCGCTCACATAGCGCCTGGTAAACTCCTTCGCATAGTCATAAACGTAGCTACTGTGGATCCGTCGTCCGATGCAATATGTTAATGAGCATTTTTCGCATTTCCAAGTTTTCATCTCGCCATCGAAGGCTTTCAGCAAAGGTCTATAATAGTAGTCTGTGGGCTGTGTTAAAAATCCCGGCTTTAAATAATTAAAAGTGTTCATGCCAGTCGAGTCCTCCGCGTAGGCTGTCAAGTATCCTACATTCTTCAAATATTTCCAGATGAACGGAAATTTATCAAAGCAGCCGTGATAATTAGTATCACAGACTTTCTCTTTGGCCGTGTCCGGCGAATAGCCACTGAGAATGGCCATTAGGTTGGGGAAAGTATTGTCAGCCACCTGAATATAATATTGAAATATTTTTACACATCACACTTATCTCATATATGTTTATTACCTTATTGTAGCCCTGCATCTCATACCAACCCTTACGGGTTAGGTACTTGTAAACTTTGGGCATGGTGCGTCTCAGATTGATCCTCGAGAGGCTGTCAATGCCGAACATTATAACACTTGGTTTCCGGCGTGCCGCCTTAGCATTGTCCACTGTCACTGCTAAAGGTGTTGGTATGTGCTGAATGAATCCAAATGCATCGGTCTGCAGCACATTCGAATCGTTGGCCACTTCGCTACAGCCCACTATCATGCCTTGGACGTGTAACGGCACTACGTAATGTTGGCTAAAGTATTTCCTCGGTGGCAGGCTTTAGAGATCATAATTGAAGTTTAATGTTTTGAGATATAGAATAGATTGGAAATATACAAGAGAACATTTTTTTTTTGATGTGAGTAAATGAATAGATAAATAAGGAAAACAATGAACAATCGCAAACATCTTGTGAATTTTACTGAATATTGAATATTTTGATTATTACTGCAGTAAAATCAGGATATTAGATGCAAGTTAGGGTAAATTTAGGTTCACTTTGGTATCTGAATTTAAGAAAAAGTAGAAAAGTAGTGGCATGTTAAACAATAATGAACATGTGCTCACAGAACATTAACAGCCTATCGACCCTAACTATTGTTATCTTAATTTAGATCGTACGCAAAGTGATGCCACTGAGTCTTACTCGTTATAACTGTCGTGCTCCGCATATCTCGTTATTTCCTGGTAGTAGCAATTGTATTCTGTTTCACTAGAATTGAGAAGCTTCGCTGCGACACTTTCATCAATCCGGAGCACATAGCGCTTGCGGTTGAAATCGAAGATGGGTCTAATGAGATCCGAATCATTTGTACACGTCTCGAATACCATTGGCTTATATATCTCCATTGCGTCCTTTGAGAAGGGATCAACAGAAGGCATTCTGCACTGCGCGCTATCGACATAGTACAGAGGCTGTGGCATTACTGTTTCTTCTTCTCCCTCATCGGTCTTGTTGAGAATTGCATGTTTTACAATTCTGTCAATTTTTACAGTTTTCGCTTTAATTTCCATTTTACCCGATTCCAGCTCAACCATTGGGCTGTCATAAGTATTGGTAATATAGTACACGAGGAACATTAGAAGGCAAAAGATAGCGAACCATTTAAAACGCGAATTCGGAACCGAAGTACTAGAAAACATATTGCTGTGCACTTGGGAACGTATGGAGAAAGACTGTCGAGTCCCGGCGTGTTTTAAAGGCGGTTGACAGCATACTGCATGTCGAAGAAGAAATTAATAAGAATTACTTAAGTGTACGTTGCAACCGCTTGTATTTGCCAATTAACAAATAACCTCCCAATTGCTTTTCAACTACGTTTTTTCAACTGAGAGCTATCTGAATAACAGAATGAACAACGCGTCCCGGCACGAACTACAGCTATAAGTTACTTAAAAAGTATAATTTCAGCAAAGCTCACGGAAAATTTTAAGTTTTTAAGTGTTTTTGCTCGTATTAATCGCGAATCGCGCAGCCCTGGTCTCCGACTCGACATGTCGATCAATTAATTAATCGTTAGAAAAATCCTAAGGATGGCAACTCAACACAAAAATAAATGGGTACAAAATGAGTAAATGCGTACATGCATATAGGGAAAAATGATTTAAACGTATTCTATTTTATTGATGTAATGAAATGAAATTTCTTGCTAGATAAAGTAGCAACACTTGCCTTTTTCAGCAGAGAGCTATCTGAACAACAGAATAAACAACGCGTCCCGGCACGAACTACAGTTACAACTTATGTAATTTTAGTAAAGCTCACGCAAATTATTGAGTTATGAAGTGTTTTCGCTCGCGTTGATCGCCGAACGTGAATTGTTGTTAAATAAAGGTAAAAAGAGATGACCAATCTCCCAACATTTATATTTATGAAGCTGTTGATTTTGTGGCCCGACGATTACATCGAGAATTGATTAAGTTGATAGACACAAAGATTTATATAATTTTAGGCATAAATGTTCGTAAGCTGATTTGATATAGGTTTTATTGCTTTATTATCAGCCCATGTGCTACTAAAATGTAAGCGTGTGTTTTATTTTCAACCTTTAGTAACCTAAACAATAAGCAAATTGAGAAACATTATCTATAAACAACATGATCCGTGGAGCCTCAATGAACATTGCATATATTTATTTACAGGTTACATTATCTTTAAGGCTAATATGTAAATATGCATAAATAAATTCAAATAAATTATCGAGTGATGCCATATCATCAAAAACAAAAAATACTTTCTCAATATTTCCATAGATGGCGAGTATTCAGATAGCGCCATCTATGACTCAAATGCAATTCAAATAAGACGCAACTTACAAACTGGCGAGCGTTCTCAACACTAAAGAATAGGCAATTGGGATTTCTTATACCATTGCTGGTCACATTGAAGAGTTTTAAACGACATGTTGCTAGGCATTTCCATGTGGCGAAGCGCGTAAAAATACTAATTTTGTGTTGAAGCTGGTATTTTTCGGTAAGATCAGAGCGGTCATACTAATTTTGACTTAGTTGATATTTGAGAAAATTTGAGCGTGTCTGCGCTTGCTAGCGGTGCGTGAAAATTATTTAAAACTAACAAATATGTAGTGAAAATTGAAAAAAATAATCAACGCACAACTTAGCTGGGCTACTGGGCGTTGAATTAGCAAAAGAGAAAAAAGATGTAACACGTATTATGCCTATAACTTTCCACCAAAGAAAAAGAAAATTATATCCTTGCCCACGCAGGATAGCCGTGCAAAGCAAACACGAGAATAAAACCAAGACGAATGCCATTTGCCGCTATCATAACAGTGAAATACAAATTGAAAATAAAGCGGTGTATGAAATGCATTCATGATTAAAATAAGTGAAATGTGCAGCATGCAACAACGCGTTGTAAAGTAAAAGGCGAAGCAGAGAGGAACAAACAAAACCAACAAACACAACACAAGCCAACAAACGCGACGAGAGTGAGCGAGTCAGTGAGGGAGGGCGACAGCTAGTGGGAGAGAGACAGTAAGCACTCTGCACGGTCGTCGCCAACGTCAGCGTTAGCGTCGCAGTCGCAGTTGGAGTTGGCGTCGGAGTCGGAGTCGCGTCTGCCGCTCACAACAAATTATCGTTTAATTTCTTTCGTTTTTGCACAAACGCAAACCGGGTGACTTTTGTCCCTTCTGCATCCACCGCTGCCGCAGTCGCCGCGCCGCCGCCGCCGCCAGCAACCACCCGCGTACGTCTTTTATCAGCCATTGATAACTGACTAACTTGCTGCAAAGCAGAGGTCGCCGCTCTGTGCCATGTTTGGCTAAAGGTGAGTCTATCAAACGCCCACAATTGACCTCGCGTTTAAAGTTGCGTAGGAAATGAATGCTAAATGTACGTAGAGTTGGCTAAAAACACGTTTGCCAACGCTCTTTCGCGTCTGCGGCCAATTAAAAATGCAGCTAATAAAAAAAGACCTAAAGCCTTGTAGTCGAACGAACGTTGCAATACTCTATATTTAATTCATTTTTAAATTACTTCTTACAAATATTTCAATACTTCATAAAAAGCGTTTAATATTGAATATAATTCACATATTTTTAAAAATTAAAAACTAAAAGTCATAAGAATTTCCTATCTCAAAGCTCTAAGCCATTTCCTATTGTCACACGAACTCTATATACTCACTTGATGTATGTAAACAGGGTACAAAGAGAAAATTATAACCGGCGCTCTGGCGGCTGTTGCTGTACTCCAACAAAAACAACAACAACGACAACAACAGAACTGAGCAATAGCTTCTACAAAGTCATGTGTGTGTGGGTGGGCGTGTGCATTGGCCACACTACAACAAGTCAGCGCGTACTTTAAATATTTGATGTAACTGCACAGAAAGTTCTCAGTTGGTGGCTTTATGTTCATTGCTGTTATTTTTACGATTTTTTTTTTGTTGCCCTGTGCCGACAATTTTATGAAATGAAAGCACAACAATGCGCATTGTGCCACGCCCCAAAGCTCGGGCAATAGGCTTGAATGGATCGCACGGCAATGGGCTGAGCTATGCAGACAAAGCGCCGACAGCGACACGACGTCTGCAACAATTCTGGATGATATCAACAAGAAGAAGAAGCAAACGTAAAAGAATAACAACAACAAACATCAACACTGCAAAAACTTCACTAGAACTGGCTATGAATCAGACGCCTAAGAAAAGCCAAGCAAGCGTGCGCTAATTTTAATATTCACGACTTCAAGATACTATGCTTTATTGTATCGTAAATCTATTTATAAGAAGTCTAAACTCATATACCGTGACGAATTTGTTTGAACTTACGGACCTTTGATCTGAAATACGATAAAAATGAAAAATCTGAACATTATATATGGAGCTATACCCTATATACTTAAGATTTTATGAACCCTTTATGTTTTAGAGTGTACCAGTAACTAACATAACCAGATTTTGCTTGCATAATTAGCTTTTATTATTTATTGACCTTATAGTCAGATTGCTTTTGATACCCAATATCAACAGCTAAACCACTTTGTGTCTTGCACTTTACAGGGTAGATGAAAACACAGCAGTTACAAGCTGCCATAAATTGCAGTGGAATTCAGTTTAACGGTTTTGTTTGTTACATTTGGACGTTTGCGCAATTGACGTAATTGCCAGAGTGAAATCCAGAGTCAGAGTCAGAGCCACAGCCAAAGTCAGTCCCGGACCAGACGCTCTGCACGAGTGTGTGTTTGGGCAGGGATGTTTGCTTGTGACTCCAACGCCGTCTGTCTTGTCGCCATTCAAGCTCAAGAGCAGCGTCGACAGCTGACTCTTAGTCGCAGACCCAGACCCAGACCCGTTTTCCCTCTCGGCCTTTTCATATTTTGCATTTTCATTTGCATTTTGCGGTCGCGCATTTTCCACTTTTCTATGTCGCTGGTCGAGGTACTTTTCATAATTTGCACTACGCTCGATATTTTTTTCATGATACGTTGCATTTTGTGAATAGAGAACCCCTCCAATCCTTCGATTATACAGCTAAATCTTTAACGAGCTGCGCACAATTTAAAACTCTTCTAAAATTGAAGGAACATTTCAGGAATTGACATAAGTTCTCGGTACTTGGAAATGCTGGAGGCCAATTTGTGGCGACCCGAGTCAATTAAATTTTCATTACTTAATAAAGCTCGAGCTGTGCCCGCAGCATTAAAATTTAACCACACAGCAGATCCTTCGGAGGCCGCCCTTTAAGGACACGGCTGCAATTTAATTGAATTGACGAAACCAAAAAAGCTGTTAAAAAGGATGTTACTCCCAGCGAAGTATCTGATCAGAAGATACCCTCTAAGAAATACAAGACAAATTTTCAAATACACAAATTGAGTTTACTAATACTATATGTATATTACATGAGGTAAAAAGCATTATATATCATTATTACATAGACACCACAATTCCGATAACTCGGTAATGCTGCTCATATGAGCATTTTGGATTTCGAAGGGGCCTAATAAGCATACCCTATACAAGGACATAAATATTTGTGTTTATCTCTGTATGTATATGCCTGAAGCTAACACATTTATAATATTATTAGCGTGTTGTGGGTGTGAGGCGTGTGAGGGGCCGACAAGTCCTTTAATGCTACAAATGCACGCAAGCAAGGACACAAGGCCTGAGTCATTCAATCGAGATGAGGAGTGTAAATGGCACAAGTCATAAACTCAAATGGGTTGTCGTTGCTGTTGTTGTTGTCTGCTGGCCCAGGGTCAAGAGCGGTTGTAGGCAACCCGCTGGGTTTTCCTGGTTGCCTAGAAAAATGAAAAACACTTTAAAAAACGAGTGGCCTCTCAGCGCTAACAACTTCATTCGAATTCTCGCAGCGTGTGTGCATATTACATGTTTGTATATATTTATGATACGTTTGTGTGCGTGTGCTAATGAGCGGCACTTGGGCCCACACTTAACCCATGTTGCCCGAAAACCGAAAACCGCGCAAAATAGGCGTGACAAATGCACAGGTAGCGCAGCCAAGTGTGAGGTATACATTTTATGAGCACTTGACTACTCTATAAACTGAGCGCTTATCACTCTTGACATGCTTTACCCAAACCTCAGCCCCATTCTCCCGCCCCTTCAAAGCTTTCGCCTTCGCTTCCAC